CCCCTGCTGTGCGTGTGCAGGGGCAAGAGTACTGCAGGAAATATGACTTCAGAGAAGGTCCTTGGTCTTCATTTTGGGGTACAGCTTGGAGAAATATGCAGGATAGAAGTTGCAGGTCTGAGATTTGAAGATGTGGTACAGGACAAAGTACCTCTATATCCTCATGCTTTGACCTTCTCTCATCTTGAAATTTTTGTGCTTACTCCAGAAGAGCCTATGTCTTTTGGTTTGTGGAAGAGGTCAACATTTTTATTTCCATGATCCTCCTATTTCCACAAATAGAACAGATCAAAAGCTGCAGAGGAGGCACCAAGAACCGTAGGGTGATTCCACCTCCTTGGGGACATTCACTGAGCAACAGAGATGCCAAGAAGGAGAGGAGCATGACATTTTTCCCTCGTGAAGAGAAGACTTTTGTGAGATATTGTCACAAATAGAAAACATAACCTCTAAATGTGAAAGGTAGAGTACTGCTCTATTCACAGAGAGCTTAGGTGTTCCTGTGTCCCACATCTGGGCCCCTCTCATGCTTGGGGGCCAATTGCAAGTTTGGAGGCCTTAGAGAAGGTAGATTTGCCATTGCCTTCTTCTTTCACATTTTAGACTCTGTTATGTTTGGTACTGGAACATCCAGGTGAGGATGGCCCCTTTCCAGAACCAACAGCCATGAACTGGATCTGAGACCATCTGGGGATCCTGGAGTGAGGAAAGTGTAAAGTGCAAGCTCTTCTGATCATCACAACCACAATAAGTGTGGGTGGGTGAGTGGGTGGAGCGAGGTGTGTCTCAGGGTGACCCATTGCCAGTAACAGTTCTTGGGTGTCCTATATCCTCAGCAGGCTCTGACATGGTGAAGTCAGAGCCCCCTTGCACCCAGATTCCAGGATACCTAGAATGTGAATGTCAGGTGTCTGCATCAGCACTTTTGGGGAGAGGGAGGACCTGGGGCACAGACTGGGACGGTATGGTATCACGAGTGGCCTCTGCATCTGCCCCTGAGCTGGGTCCTCTGCTCTCAGCTCAGGGTCCTTCATGCCTTCCACAACCAAACCCTTCAGATGAAGTAGGTTGCTGATTCCAAACAGAGTCTGAAAAGCGAAGTAGAACGTTTGAGTCTCACGGAGATAGAATGATAAAAGTTATGGCTGAGGGCTTGCCAAGGAAAAAGGGCTATGGCAAACACTGCAGTGCTCTGGTTGGGACCTTGTAGAGTAAGGATGAGCTGGAACTAGATGATACCTCACAAGGATTAAAGCCAGATCAAATTTCCTCAATATCTGATCAAATCGAAGTGGTCTGCTTGCCACAAGCAAGAGTAAATATGCCCTGAAGAATGATAATGTGACTCAGAGTTTAAAATTATCTCTATAGATTTTTGTCACTGCACCAGACAAGAGTGTGGCCAGGGAAACAGCCACCAAGAGTTTTATGAGAATAAAGGGCTTGCTAGAGGACCTAGAACTTAACGCAAATGTGGTAGAGCTGGAAAGTGATGCTTTGGAGAAGGCAGGATGATCATGAGAGCATCATTAAGCAGTTCAATTGAAGAACAGGTGTGGGTGGGCAAGATAGAGCTTGCAGGGATGTATGAAAAGCCAAGTATGTCCACTGTTACCATGGGACCCCGACGGGGGATCTCAGAAAGTTCTATGGAAAACTGTTGCCTATGTAGCTACTGCCTCTGTAAGCACACAGGCAAGCAGGTGGTGGTATACTTGAGGCAGGTGTAGGTCATCCCCAGGGCTGGCAATTGGGAAGCCGGCCTGCATGTGGAGCAAAGCAGGGAAAATTGCCTAATACATTATGCTATTTTATAGTTGTTTACAGCAGGAGGGTAAGTCTGCTACTAGTTACTCCATTCTGCCTGGTTCTTTTTATTATTCATCACATTCACAGTTTTAATGGTTCTTTATAAAATGTAATCCAATACAATGCTGAAACTCTCCATTTTAGCATCTATTTTCACATGATGACAATTAAAGTCCATACCTAAAACTCATATCTAGAACACCTGTAATTACATCTGTGCTTGATGCTCAGCCTCTTGGTATTCAACTATTTTGTCATATCTCCTGGTATTCTTGTAAACTTTTTCATTTTTAGTTGAATTTCCAGTATTTTGTTTGAAAAACTGCAGAGATTTTTTGGAGCTCTGACTGAAATTTTCCTCCTCTGGATTCTAGGACAGTCTAGAACAGCACTGTGCAAAGGAACTTTCGTGACGATGGAAGCATTGCGTCTGCATTGTTCAATATGGTGGTCCTGAGCACTTGACAGGTATTTAGAGTGACTGAGGATTTAATCCTTGATTTTATTTTAATTAATTTAAAGGTAAATCGGCTCATGTGGCTAGGGCTACCCTACTTTTGCTTTCTAGCAAGTAGAATAGAGACAGATCCCTTAAGCCAGCCCCAGGTTGAAAGAGTTTGAAGATGGGTTTTGGTCTTTTTGTGGGCAGGCCTACTCCCAGTTGACCCTTACTTTTTTTTTTTTTTTTTTTGAGATGGCGTCTCACTCTACTGCCCAGGTTGGAGTGCAATGGTGCGATCTTGGCTCACTGCAAGCTCCGCCCCCTGGGTTCACACCATTCTCTGGCCTCAGCCTCCTGAGTAGCTGGGACTACAGGTGCCTGCCACCACGCTCAGATAATTTTTTGTATTTTTAGTAGAGACGGGGTTTCACCGTGTTAGCCAGGATGGTCTCAATCTCCTGACCTTGTGATCTGCCCACCTCGGCCTCCCAAAGTGCTGGGATTACAGGCGTGAGCCACCGCGCCTGGCCAACCCTTACTTTTAATCTGTAACCCTTCTTGAGTCCTAACAGAAGGTTTGGGGTGTTTACTGGGCCTCTCCTTATTAGACCCGGAACATCAAATTTGGTTTACCCAGTTCCATCAGACTGCTGAGAGGAGAGTTTAAGTATGTTGGGCTCACCTCAATGATCTTCCCTTCCTTCCAGGGTTTTCGTCCCTCAAGTCCTGTCTACCTTGGTAGCACCAGGCTCCATGATCTATTTGTATTTATTTAATTTTATTAATTTTTTTTTTGTAGAGGCAGGGTCTCTGTATGTTGCCCCGGCTGGCCTCAAATTCCTGGGCTCAAGTGATCCTCTCATATTGGCCCCCCTAAAGTGCTGGGATTATAGACATAAACCACTGCACCTGGCCACCATGATTTCTTTCTCCAGCCCCAGCCATAACACTACTGAAAGCTCAACTCAGGTTCCCATCCTCTTAAGCCTCTGCTTTCTGCTTGCTTCCTTAGCCTTTTGGCCCCTCCAGGAGAATGAGCTTCCCTTTTCTCTTGGATCCTGGCCAACTTGGTAGCTCTCCAATGTCTTCAGATTGTTTTGTGTGTGTGTGTGTGTGCGCGTGCGTGTGTGTCCTGTTTTTCCAGTTGGTCTCAGTCTCAGTGTGGAAGTGTTATTCTGACGTTAGCTACTCTATCATGGCTAGAAACCTCGCTTGCTTTATTTGATCTCTGCCCCCAAAGTCACCTTCTCAAAGAGGCCCTGGCCTTTCAAACTAAAATAACAACTAAAATAACACCTCTTTACACCTTTTCCCTTTATGTGATTTCGTATCCACAGCACTAATTATCTGACATTATATAAGTGTCTTTCCCACAAGGCTGTAAGCTCCAGGAAAGATTCGGTCTTTTTTCTCTCACCAGTGCCGAGAACAGCCCCTGCACACATTATATGCTCAATAAATGTTTCTTGGATGAATAATGCTGTATTGTCCAGTGGGGAGACAGGTCTGGTCTTTGCCCTTAATGATCAGTCTAATTAGGGAGAGCATAACCCAAAACGGTTGGAAGGCCACAGAATCAGGATAGGACCTATGGGTGGGGGACCCACGTGGTAGGGTTTGGGAGAGCCGTATGCCCTGGACTGGGTGGGAGGGGAGAATCAGGAAGGTCCTCTATCTACAAGGACCCTGGAGGGTTTGAGCAGGCAGATGGGAAAGGGAAGGCATTCCTGACTAGGGAGGCAAGTCAGCAAAGCTCGGAGGTGGGACTGAGAACACCAAATCTCCCACAGGTCAGGCAGGAAGTTTCTGGGCCTTACTCCTTCCAGGACCAGTTGAGCAGCAATCCTGAAAGCAAAAGCCCCCTGGTGGCCAAACCTTAATATGAACGACCAAGTTACTGAATCCTCCCAAGAGTAGCCTGATGTGGGGGGAGTGAAGAGGGAGGGTTGCTTCTCTTTTCAGAGGAGGAAATGGAAGGTCAGAAAAGTTAAGACGCGACTCAGGCTCACGCAGCTCTGCCTTCAGAACTTGAGAGGTCTGCAAAGCCCACCAGCCCCTCCTTACCTATGTCAAGAGACATTCAGGTGGTGATGGATGAGGATAGGATAGCATGGGGGAAAGGCAATCCCAAAATCTCTGAGAGCTCTGGAGCCAGGTCAACCTGGTGGGAGCCCCCAGGTCAGTTACTGCGGCTCAAGCTACAGCCAGTAAGGCCGTAGTGGAGACGAAACGAGAGGGTGCAGCGCTTGCTGCACACGAAGCGCTGGAAGGGAGGCATCGTGACGGGGGCTGTGAATGGCGTGTGTCCATCAGGTAATGTCACTCCGCTTACCCCACTGCGGGCAAACAGGAAACATCAGGAATCTGGTGCTCAAGGAGGGTCAGGACCATGCTGAGCGCACCCAGAACCAGCAGAGGCACTGGGCAGGAGGTCCCCAACCAACCCCCACTCGCTCAGGAATCACAAGGTGTTCAGCCCCCTCCTCCCTGAGACCCAGGAGTCCACGACCCCAGGCCCTCCTTCTTCAGCCACAGATGCCTGGGGTCTCCAGTCCCACTTCCTCTAGTCCTAGTCCTGGCCCTTTCCTCAGACCCAGGATGGTCCCCCAGCCCCCTCCTCCCTCAGAGTCAGAAGCCCAGCTCAAGACCCTTCCTCCCTGAAACCCCGAAGTCTGGGGTCCCAGCTTCTTCAGGGTTTCAGGTTACTAGGCCCCCATCCCCCTCCCACCTCACATGGAAGGCCCGGTAAGGTAACAGGTTTATTCACAGTGTCATTTACAGGCAGCCCCCACCCGGGGGCGTCGGATCCCGGCGGGAGGCCCGGAGTCGCTAGAAGGTGGGGACAGTCTCGGAGGTGGGGGCCCGGGCCGGATCCCCGGTGTCCCCGGTGTCGCCTCCTCGTCCAGCCGCCGGCGGCCCTTGCCGATGGCCTGGCGGGGCCGGCCGCGGTTCAGGCCGTCCAGGAGTGCGCAGGCCTGGCAGAGCGCGCGACTGGCCAGGGCCCCACAGCGGGAGCAGGCGCCGGGGCGCGGGGGCCGCGCGGCCGGGGCCAGCGCCAGGCGATCGGCCGAGTGCACGAGGTCCAGCACCGCCGACGGCCGCGCCGCCTCCAGCCGCTTGAGCGGGTCCCGGGAGTGGCCGCGGAAGACCTCAGGCGCGTAGACGCACTCCTCGGAGAAGTAGTCGAGGCGGCGGAAGTGCGCGTACAGCACCACCTCCTTCTGCGAGGCGAACTGCAGCGGGCGGCAGCGCTGCAGGGCGCCCCCTTCGCCCGGAGAGCCCAGGCCCCCGCCCCGGGCCAGCCGCCCCGCGTCGCCTCTCAGGAAATTCATGAGCAAGGTCTCCGCCATGTCGTCGGCGTTGTGACCTGGTGGGGAGAGACGGGAGCGGGTGAGGTGGCGCGCGGAGGGCGCTGCTGGCCAGGGAGCCCCCCCCGGGGAACCAAGGGTCCACGAGGACCCAGAGAGAGACTGGGAGGAGAGACCCACGGAGACCCAGGGCACAGTGTGGCCGCCAGGACCCAGAGAGAGACGGCGAGAGGGAGAGCAAGCCATGGAGACAGACCCCCGAACAACGTGCGACAGCCAGGATCCAGAGACAGGGAGTGGGAGAGCGAGCCATGGAGACCCCTGGGGCACTGTGGGCAACCAGGACCCAGAGAGAGACGGGGACGGGGAGAGCAAGCCATGGAGACCCGCGAACAACGTGCAACAGCCAGGATCCAGAGACAGGGAGGGGGAGACAGAGCTATGGAGACTCCTGGGGCGCTGTGGGCAACCAGGACCCAGAGAGAGACGGGGAGCGGAGACCCAGGGCACAGTGGGGCCGCCAGGACCCGGAGAGAGACGGGGAGAGGAGCGCGGAACATAGAAACCCAGGCTACAGCGGGGCCGCCAGGACCCAAGACAGAGAGGGGCAGGGGGAGGGGGAAGAGACACTGATGGGGAAACCGGACCATGGAGACTCCCGGGCACCATGGAGCAGCCAGATGGAGACTGGAGGTGGACAGAAAACCTGAAGGGAACACAAACAAGTTCCTTGGGGGAGCCCTCATTTGCCATCCACCTACTGTACACCAGGCCCTTCGCCAGCTCTCCTTCCACATAGCGGGTAAAAATGCTTTAAGCTGCAAACCATTTCAGCCTCACTTAAAACTGTATTTCAGACAACACAGGAGAAAAAAGGACCATCTAATGGGGATTCTCAAGAGAGCTGTAGACACAAGTGCCTCTGGGAATACAGATCACCAGGTTTAGAAAGACCGGAAAGAAAGTAAGTGCATACAAACACACCAGTCGCCGTACAATTTAAATGGAAACCATGTTTATTCTGCCTCTTGTCATCTTATACTTGACTCTGTATATTAAAATACTGTTCTTCTTAGGGCTTCTCAAGTTGGTCATACTTCCCCTCCTCAAGGCCTTTGCCTCTCTGTGTCCTCAGCTCAGAACACCCCCTCCCCAAACTCCAACTCATCCTTCACCTGGTTATTCACTGAGCCTTCGGGTCTCAGTTCACTCAGCAAAGGTTTCTTTAATCCCCACCTTTTCCCCGTCACTAGGATCCCCTGATATAAATTCACATGTTCTGTGTAATTTTCCGTAGTAGCACTTGTCAGGTTATAATTACATACGTGAAAATCAGGCAGGAGTACAGATTGTATTGTGCTCTTGTGCATTGTCATAACAGCAAACATTTACATCATGTTTACTGTTTTTCAGCCTCTAGTCTAAGTGCCTTATATATAACTCAAGTACTTTCCAACTCAAGGACCCAGATATTATTAACATCCCCATTTTAAAAAAGATGAAATGGAGGTTAGGTAATCTGCTGTAGGCTACACAGCTTGTATCTGGTATTTAGTCAATGGACGATAATTACTTATTAAAGTAATCACTGGGAAAAAATAAGAGTCGTCAGAGAGAAACCTATAAAGAAAAGGAGTTAAGAGACACCGTAGCGTTTCAGACTGTATGGCTTATGATGGGAGACGCCTCTTCACATCTCTCTCTTTGTAAAGGGAGATACAAAGAAAGTCATTTCCCTCTACTAAAAATACAAAAATTACCCAGGCGTAGTGGCAGGCGCCCGTAATCCCAGCTACTTAGGAGACTGAGGCAGGAGAATCGCTTGAATCCGGGGGGAGGCTAGGTTGCAGTGAGCCTAGATTGCACCACTGCACTCCAGCCTGGGCAACATAGCGAGACTCTATCTCAAAATAATAACAATAAAAATAATAGCAGAGTACTCCAGCCTTAGCTCCTACAGGGTAGCCCCTCTACCCCTCTATTTGCCAATGTGTGTACTAAGATGATGGCAGAGACCCAGAGGCTTGAAAAACCTGCCTTACTCCATCCTAGGGAGGCACACGTACTATCCACATGAGCCTTCAGCAGGCTCTGGCCCCAAATAGGCACATGTGTATTTCCGCCCCAAATAGACACATGTGTATTTCCCCAGCGCCTTACTGGGATCCTCCCGCTAAGCCGCTCCCACAGTCTCCTCGCCCACTTTTGGAGCATGCGCCCCAGTCCCCTTTCAGGAACCGCCCGTTGCCTGCGCACGCTCCCCACTCCCTCTATCACGCAGAACTGCAGCCGCCCTTGTTCTCAACGGTCAGTGTGTGAGTGGCTCCCACGTGGCGCGGCCCTTCCTCCAGCGCCCGGCGCTGCAGCACCCCACAGAAGGTACAGCAGGAGCGGCTGCGGCTGGAGTTGGTTGTGCTGCGGCTACGGGGTCCACCGTCCAGCCCCGAAGAGGTCTTCGTAGGCCACAACGGTGAGCGACAGCTCCCAGCGCGCCGCACGGCCGCCAGCGCCGCTTCCCAGTAGCCGCCGATGCCCTCGTCGAAGGCCACGAGCTGCAGTGAGATGCCCAGGCGCGGCGCCAGCGCGCAGCACGTGCGCCACCACTGTGGAGTCCTTGCCGTACGAGGCGCCCACGGCCACCACCGCGGCGGGCGGCAGCAGGCGGCCTGCAAGCACCGTGTGCAGCACCTCGGCCTCGAAGGCGGCACAGAAAGAGGCACTGCACAGCGCTCGTCCCGAGGAGGGCTGCGTGTGCCGCGTGGCAGGAGGTACATGACGGGGCGGGCATTGCAGGAAGGGTCAGCTTCTCCGGGACCGGGAGAGGAGGCGGGTTACACGTGAGGAGTTCTTTGAGGAGTTCCCTAGATAGCACCCCTGCCTGAATAGACCAGGGGCAGCTGTGCGCAGGCTGCTGCTATATACATGGGTTATAAACGGGTTCTGGCTTAAGAAGGCCACTGCCTCCAGGAAGTCTTCCTGGAGTGCACCCATTATGCACCAAGAAGAATAGGAACTTAAGCTCATTTCAGGGGGAAGAGAGGGAGTAGCAAACAGGTTATACCCAGAATTAGATTGTGTGCTATCCAAAGGGGTGAGGGTGTCTATTAAGGACCAGTTGTAACAACTTCCAGGGAGGCCACCCATGTTACAGCCCTGATCAGAAGGTAAATATTATTGACTATTCAGAGAGGTTGTGAGGGGAGGGGTCAGAGACTCTTAAGGACAGAGGGAGGCCATGCTCTGTATGTATGAGTATGGAGACTAAAGCCATGGGTGCCCATCTCTAACACCCTTCTGGAAAAGACTTCCAGCTGACTGAAATCTCCCACCACAGTCCCACACCCAGCACAAGGGAGCCAGGCAGGCTCAGGGATACTTGGTCTGTCCATGCAGTTCCAACGGTTTAACACATACCCACTTCTCACACCAAATGCATGGGGATAGGGTACTATCATAATCTCCCTTTTGTAGATGAGAAAACCAGAATAGATGATACCAAATAACTTGCTCAGCAGATGCAGAGGGTAGAGAGTGGAGCCAGGAATCAAATGCAGGAACCTGGCTCCTGGGCCTGTGCACTTAAAAGATTATGCTGGTCTGCGTCTCAGAAGTATTTATAACAGTCCCCTCTCCCTTTTTTAGCAAAAAACGTGTGTGGGGGGGAAATAAGTAATCAAAACTGTGGGAGTGGCTCAATAAATTATGACAGGTCAACCTCATAGAATACATGTGTGTGCAACCCATCATGGATTGTAGAATGAAAAAAATACCATCCACACACGTAAGAGATCTGAGTTTTATAAATCAAGGAAAGGGTCCTTACACAGGTATATGATTATGAGCACAGTAATGTGTGTGTGTTTGTGTGTGTGTCATGTGTTGGCAAACATTTTCTGTAAAGAGCCAGAGAGTAAATATTTTCCGTTTCCAGCTTGGGGGCCATTTGATCTCCGCCAAAACTACTCAACTCTGCCAGTGGAGCATGAAAGAAGCCCAGACAATACATGTCCAAATGAACATGGCTGTGTTCCAATAAAACTTTATTTTAAAAAAACAGCTGGGAGGCCGTATTTGGCCAATGGCCACAGTTTGTTGACTCCTGGTGTGTATGTTTAGGGGCCTGTGTAAAAATATGAACGAGACTAATGGTTGGCACTGATTATCTATGCAGAGACTTGAACCAGACTAATGGTTGGCACTGATTATGGAGAGGCTCACTATAGATGGTGGAGATGGAAAGGGAGGGGCAAGCTGAGCTAATCCTGAAAGAAGAGAAAAGCTATAATATAAAGATCAGTAAACATTATAGAATCTCATTTATGCATTTACTAAAAATGTACATTCATGTGTATGTATAATAAAGGAGTTAATCATTGTTGATACAACCTCATGACATATTCAACAGGGAATAATTTTTATAAAAACAATTAAATTAGATTATCTTAAAAAATAACTGTAATCTACCTACACCTAATGCTGTGCAGTGAATTCTGCTGCAAACCCATTGCACTGAGGGCATACATACCTACGTACGCATACATACACATATGCCGACCAGACCATATACATATGTCTGCATATGCATATATATACATACATAGATACCTAAATATATGTACATACAGGTTGGGTATCCCTAGTCTGAAAACCCAGAATCTGAAACTTTCTTAACTCTAACATGACGCTCAAAGGAAATGCTAACTGGAGCATTTCACCTTGGATTTTCAGATTAGGGATGCTCAACCAATAAATATAATGCAAATATTCCAAAATCTGTTAAGTATCTGAAATCCAAAATGCTTCTGATCCCAGGCACTTTGGGGAAGGGATATTAAACCTGCATATAATATATATGCTTATATACATAAGGCATACACACATACACATAATATTGTCCTATCATTACTGTATTGGCACTTTAGAAATATATCCCAAAACAAACAGGGTTATCATTGATATAATTTCCCACACACTTTACTATAAATAATCGGGTAACAACCTGTCTTGTAGCATTCTTTACAGAAAGGCTTTTCTCAATGCATTAGTCAGGGTTTCTTCCCAGGGTGAAAATATATAATCCTTAATGAGGCCAGTACTAAGAGAAGGGCATTTCTGCTTACTCTTTTCTCAGTAATTGCCCTCACATAAAATAAAGCATGACTTTGCCATGTGTTCACACATGCAGTGTGGGGAAAAGAAAGAGAGATCAGACTGTTACTGTGTCTATGTAAAAAGAAGTAGACATAAGAAACTCCATTTTGTTCTATACTAAGAGAAATTCTTCTGCCTTGAGATGCTGTTAATCTGTAATCCTAGCCCCAACCCTGTGCTTGCAGAGACATGTGCTGTGTTGACTCAAGGTTTAATGGATTTAGGGCTGTGCAGGATGAGCTTTGTTAAAAGTGTGTTTGAAGGCAGTATGCTTGGTAAAACTCATCGCCATTCTCTAACCTCGAGTACCCAGGGACACAATGCACTGTGGAAGGCAGCAGGGACCTCTGCCCAGGAAAGTCAGGTATTGTCCAAGGTTTCTCCCCATGTGATAGCCTGAGATATGGCCTCGTGGGAAGGGAAGGACCTGCCCGTCCCCCAGCACGACACCCGTAAAGGGTCTGTGCTGAGGAGAATTAGTAAAAGAGGAAGGCATCTGTCTCCTGCTTGTCCCTGGGAATGGAATGTCTCGGTGTAAAACCTGATCATACATTCTATTTACTGAGATAGGGGAAAACTGCCTTATGGCTGGAGGTGAGACATCCTGGCGGCAATACTGCTCTTCAATGCACTGAGATGTTTGTGTCAAGTCAAATATAAATCTGGCCTACGTGCACATCAAGGCATAGCACCTTTCCTTAAATGTATTTATAACACAGAGATCTTTGCTCACATGTTTTCCTGCTGACCCTCTCCCCACCATTACCCTATAGTTCTGCCACATCCCCATCTCTGAGATGGTAGAGATAGTGATCAATAAATACTGAGGGAACTCAGAGACCAGTGCCGGCGCAGGTCCTCCGTATGCTGAGTGCCGGTCCCCTGGGCCCATCTTTCTTTCTCTATACTTTGTCTCTGTGTCTTATTTCTTTTCTCAGTCTCTCGTCCCATCTGATGAGAAATGCCCACAGGTGTGGAGGGGCCGGCCCCCTTCATGCAGTGCATCCCTAGAGTTTATTGAAGCATGAATTCAATAACATACAATTAGACCTGATTCTGAGATTTTCTCTTCTTCAAGAAACTCAGGGAGTATATTTCATTTATGAATATGCTGATGCACTAGGATTTCATTGCTTGGTAAAGCCTTTCACAGAATAACTGCATTTGTAAGATTTGTCTCTGGTATGAGTTGTTTGGTGTTTATTGAAGTTTGACCTGTTGTTGAAGGCCTTTCCACATTCAGAACACACATAAGGTCTTTCTCCCGTGTGAATTCGCTGATGCACCTTGAGTTGTGGTTTCTTACTGAACGATTTCCCACAGTCGAGGCATTCATAAGGTTTCTCTCCCATGTGAGTTCTTTGATGGGTAATCAACTCTGATTTCTGGACAAAAGCCTTCCCACATTTGGAACAGACAAAAGGCCTCTCTCTAGTGTGTGTTACCTGATGTTTATGGAAATTCGACCTGCCGTTGAAGGCCTTCCCACATTCAGTGCACACATAGGGTTTCTCACCCGTGTGAATTCGCTGATGCTCTTTGAATTGAGACTTCGAAGTGAAGGCTTTCCCACATTCACTGCATTTGTAAGGCTTCTCTCCAGTGTGGATTCTCTGATGCATGCTGAGTATTGACTTCTGGTTGAAGGCTTTCCCACATTCACCACATACATGGTGTCTTTCTCCAGTGTGAATTTTCTGGTGTATATTCAGGTGTGACTTTTGGGTGAAGGTTTTTCCACAGTCACTGCATTCATAAGGTTTCTCCCCTGTATGAATTCGATGATGTATATCAAGCTGTGACTTGGAAATGAAGGATTTCCCACAGTTGTGGCACTGATAAGGTTTTTCTCCCGTGTGGCTTCTTTGATGGACAATCAGGTGTGCCTTCTGGATGAAGGCCTGCCCGCATTCGATACACACATAGGACTTCTGCCCTGAGTGGATTCTCTGGTGCAAGCTGAGTGTTGACTTCTGGGTAAAGGCTTTCCCACATTCGCTGCATGCATACTGTCTCTCACCAGTATGAATTTTCTGATGTATAATGAGGGTTGAGTTTTGGGAGAAGCCTTTGCCACATTCACTGCATTCATAGAGTTTTTCTCTACTGTGAGTTCTCTGATGTCTGAAGAGAGATAACATCTGGAAAAAGGCTTTTCCACAGTCATGGCATTCATAGGGCTTCTTTCTAGTGTGTGTTTTCTGGTGTGTAACCAATTCTGATCTCTGAATAAAGACCTTCCCACATTCCTTGCATATATAGGGTATATCACCTGTATGATCTGTCAGATATACACTGAGTTTTAGTTGTGGCGTGAAGGCTTTTCCACATCTGCCACACTCATGGAGGTTTCCTACACTATGAATTCTCTGTTGGGCAAAGAGGTGTGATTTTGGGGTGAAGTCCCTCCCACATTCAGAACATCCATCTGGTTTCTTCTGAGTATGAATTTGATGTTGCGTGACTGACTGTTTATGGCCACAGACTTTTCTACACTGATTACCTTTGCAAAATGTCTCTCCTGTGTGGATATTCTTGCTGCAAGCGTGGGAAGAGCTACGGCTGAATAGCTGACCAGACCCAACAACGTCATCAAGCTGTTTTGTGTCATTGTTTTCATTCTGACCACTCACTTCTAGGTTCAGCTTCAAACTTTTTGTAAATAAGCAACATTTCTGAGGTTGTTCCTGTGAAGAAGCAAGGTGGGGCCTCGTGTGAATCATTTTCCCAGGGTCCTTATATTCACAATTGCTTTCTGTGTTCAATGTTTGCTTGTTGAAGAAAGCACTGTGACTCATGGGCTGAATTTGATTTTGCTTATCTTTCTTTGTACGGTCTGTATCCAGCCTCAGTTCTTCTAAAATGGAACACCATGAACCATTTCTTGTGAACTCACCTACCATATCCTTTTGAAATGAAGCTTTCTTAGAAATCTCCTTTTGTGGGATTTCAAGCCCGAACTCCCCTTCTAAAAGGAGAAAGAGAAGATGAAATAGACACAATGAACAGGAAAGAGGAGAAACTGTATGAAGCTGATTGACAATGAATACAAGGAAATTGCTGAGTCATGTAATAATGATGTTAACGATGCTGAGAATGAGCAGAAACACAGAGCCCTTATTATATGATGAGCATTTATCTACATAGCACTTAGCAGGTGCCAGGCAATGGCCTACGTACTCATTTAATCTGCATAATAACCTCGGGAGGCAGCCATGATGCTGTTCCTGTTTTACAAAGAAAAGGAAGCACATAATGGTTATGTAATTGGCCAAGATCACTTTGCTAGTCTGTGGGGATTAGATTTCAACAACCTGAGGCCACTTATGCAAGTGGTCTGGACACCCAGATCTAGTAGGATGAGTAGGGGATAAAACAGACAAGAGCGTTGTAGGGCAACATCTGTGGACAGCCAAGGCTTGAAGGAGGGGACTCAGTGTGTAAGTCTTCATTAACTTTCAGAGATGAATCCTCACCAATCTGCTTGCTTTATCTTACTTGTTTAGAAACAATGCCAAGTACATCGGCCCTGTACATCCTTCTGAAAACTATTAAAGCTTCACCTATCTTGACATGGCCAACCAGTGAAAAAATGACTATGCCCCAACTCTCCATGAAGCTACAATTTTTTTTTCTTCTTGAACTTAGGAATATACCCATCTCCTCAGAAAGATATTCTAAAAGACTGGGTAAGCAAGCTGTTCCCCAGAATTTGTTTCACCCTTGTTCCACTGAAATTAATTCTTCTCTGTTAGAATTTTTGGCTTTATGCTATCAAATACGCCTTTTTTTAGTTTAGTTTTTTGTTTTGTTTTTTGCCAAGAATAAGAGTCCCTGATCATCTTGTGCACTTTACTAGTATAGTGCACAAAACACAGCAGGTTCTCAATAAAAATAATAGTTACTAAATTTTACTATTACTTTTTCTACCAGATTGTAATACTGAGTATGACCATCACATGTAGTTTCTTTTCGCTTTCAGTCACTGAAACTGTATCCCAGACTCTTGTCCTATCAAAAAAACTCAATCATCTTTCATTCTTTTTTTTTTTTTCAAAAAGGACACTTAATCTTTATTGTTAACTTTTTCTTATTGTAGCAGAAGTGCATAATATTAAATTTACCATCTTACCCATTTTGTATTATACAGTTCAGTAGTGCTACCTGTATTCACCCTGTTGTGCAATGGATCTCCAAAACTTTTACATCTTGCAAAACTGAAATGCTGCACCCATTAAACAATTTCCCTTTTCCCCCTGTCCCTCATGCTCTGGCAGCCACAATCTTATTCTGTCTCTATGAATTGAGTACTCAAGGTACCTCATATAGGTAGAATGATACATTTGGATTTTTTGTGTCTGGCTTATTTCACTCAGCATCATGATAAGATTCATTCACACTGCAACATGTTTCATAATTCCTCTTCCTTTTTAAGGTTGAATAATATTTCATCGTATGTATGGACCACATTTTGTTTACCAATTCATTGGCCAATGGACAATTCCACTTTTTGGATATTGTGAATAGTGCTACGATGAACAAGACTGTACAAACAGCTGTTTGGGTTCTTGCTTTCAATTCTTTTGGGTATCTACCCAGAAGTGGAGTTGCTGGATCATGTAGTAATTTTATGTTTAATTTTTGAGAAATCACCATCCTGTTTTCCACAGGACTACACCGTGTTACATTCCCACTAGCAATACACAAGATTCCAGTTTCTCTATATCCTTGTCAACACTTGTTATTCTGTTTTTTTACTAGTAGCCATTCTAATGGATGTAAAGGGATATCACACAGTGGTTTTCATTTGCATTTCCCACATAATTAGTGAGGTTGAGCATTTTTTCCTGTTATTGGTCACTTGTATATCATCTTTGAAGAAATGCCTATTCACCTCCTTTTCCCACTTATTAAAACAGGTTATTTGTTTTCTATTTCATTTTTTACTCTTAAATAGCAATTTTACCCATATATGGGTGGTCATTTATTCTGGCAATCTTCCTCTGTGTCCCCAGGCAGAGATTTGAAACCTTTTTAACTTCTCACTTTATTCAGGTCATAAAAATCTTGCTGAACCTGGTAACACTTAAATTACTGCCCGAAATGTTCAATGTAAACTATCAGAACTGTACTGAAAAGCTCTTCCACAACTCTCCAATGCAGCCTAACAATGCTGATTGCAAAAAAGAAGTCCAGTTTATTCTCAAATGCAAGCACACTCTCATGTCCTCTGTTCCCATTTAGCCTGCTTCATCTGCTTCTTTGTTTCAATTCAAAATGGCTTTCTGGACCAGTTACAGGTACTGTGTCCTTAAAATTAATTCCCAATGTCACTCCACCTCTAGGCTGACAACACTTTTTCTGAACTTCACAAGCATTTACTATCCATGCTTCTCATGTTGATACACTTACTTTTTGAGTAACCTTTCATGAAATAGACATGATTGATGCACAAAGGCTAATGCTTTTAACATTTAATGCCATTGTCCTCTCCATCCAAACACAATCTGTTCTTTTGAATTTATCTCAGCAAATATTTAAAGCATCCTTTTAAAATAGTGTGAAATATTCTTTCCTGACCATTTTCAGAAAATCAATAATTTCTGTATCCTAAATACAAAAATCCTAATCCTGTATCTTAAATACAATGGTTTCCTCATGCGGAACACTGACATAATGAAGATTAAGTAAAGAAAGTACAAAGTAATCAGCAGACTGTATGCAAAGTGATACAGTCTATGGAGATAACATTAAACAACATACAAAAACAATGGAGCAGAGCATGAGTGATGAAAACTCTTCAGGTATATTTTTACATTGGAAATACGTGGCCATGAGGACAATGTCACTGAAAAGAGTTTGTTAATCCTACACAGTAGGAAATAACTGCATGTTTTTATCATATCTACTGAGGAAAAAAGAAAATAGCCATGTTTGGGGGTAATAAAATCTATCAGTATCTTGACTGAACTCAAAAAACTGAAATCATTAGGAACACCGTTGTCTAAATATGAGAAAATGGGGATCTAGTTTGTTGTAATACCACTGGGCTTAAGAAAAAGGGTCGCCTTCTTCTTAATAAAAAGAAAAAAAAACTGGTAAGAATTCCAAAATAATAAATTAGAGGACTGTGTTTCTGAGCCCAGAAACACAGAAAAATCTGACAAAATTTGTCAGGTAAGAATTTCTGACTTGGATGATGATGATTCCAATTTCTGATCTCCCAAAATTAAGAAACTGAGTCATCTCATGGGAACTGTCTTCCATGGAGCTAAATAAGTAGCAGAACACAGTTTAAGCACAGAGACTAGAGGTACTGACATAGAAATCATTAGAATAAAAATATGAGGACTGAGAATTCAGAATGGATAGGTCCTTTAAGTCAGTTCCTGTATGAAAAGATGCCCATAGCCAGGCACGGTGGCTCACGCCTGGAATCCCAGCACTTCGGGAGGCCGAGGCAGGTGGAACACCTGAGGTTGGGAGGTCGAGACCAGCCTGACCAATAAGGAGAAACCTCATCTCTACTAGAAATACAAAATTAGTCAGGCATAGTGGTGCATGCCTGTAATCCCAGCTACTCAGCAAGCTGAGGCAGGAGAATCACTCAAACCCGGGAGGTGGAGGTTGCGGTGAGCCAAGACTGTGCCATTGCACTCCAGCCTGGGCAACAAGAGTGAAACTCTGTCGAGGGCAGGGGAGGGGAGGGGGGCAGGGGAGGGAGGGGGGAGGGGTACCCCGGCCGGGGCCAGGGCAGCCACAGCCGAGGGGCACGACGGGGGACGGGGAAGCGCACGCGCGGGCGGGAGGGGGCCAAGGGGGGCGGGGAGGCGGAAAGGAAGGGGGAAGGGAAAGAGAGGGGGGAGGCGGCCCAGGGAGGGAGCGGGCGGAGGGGAAGGGAAGGGGGGAGGGGGGAGGGCGGAGGGGAAGGGAGGACAGGGGGGTAGGGGAAGAAAGGGGGGAGGGGGCAAGCGGAGCCGCGGGGAGGGGGAAGGGCGAAGCGGAGGCGGCAGGGGGAGGGGGCAGCCAAGAAGGGAGGGGGGACGGGGAGGGGAAGGGACGGGGAGGGGGAGGAGAAGGGAGGAAGGAGGGGGGAGGGGAAGGGAGGAGCCGCGGAGGCGAGGGGACGGGGCCCATATGGAAGAACAAGGCCGCAAGCTAGAGGTGTCACAATTGGGAGGAAAAGAAGACCAATATTGATTTTCTGATGGAAAATCAATAAAATTAGGGGCAAAAAAATAGAAAAAAAAAAAAAAAGGCAGAAAACTCCATGGACACAAATAGATAAATGATAAGAAAATGCAATGAACAAATGAAAACGCCAATCAGATAACAGATAAGATGAGAGGCTCTCATTCAGTTATTAGAAAAAGAACACTTCAACAATGAAACAGGCTGGGCGTGGTGGCTCACGCCTGTAATTCCAGCACTTTGGGAGGCGGATCATGAGGTCAGGAGAGCGAGACCATCCTGGCTAACACGGTGAAACCCTGTCTCTACTAAAAATATAAAAAATTAGCTGAGTGTGGTGGCGGACCCCTGTAGTCCCAGCTACTCAGGAGGCTGAGGCAGGAGAATCGCTTGAACCTAGGAGGCAGAGGTTGCAGTGAGCCAAGATCACGCCACTGCACTCCAGCCTAGGTGACAGAGCGAGACTCTGTCTCAAAAAAACCAAAACCAAAACCAAAAACCAATAAAACAGCCCTTTCACCCATCAGTAGGGCTATAAATTCACCAATTTTGTTAATGCCAAGTGTTAGCAAGCAAGATGTGCAAATGCAAATCCTTGTGCACTGCACATGGGAGCGTGAACTGGTGCAGCCCATCAGCCCATCAGAAGAGCAATATGGTTGACTTAGTCAAGTATACTTATCTCCAGGACCAGGCAATCCCATTCCTGAGTATTTACCACTGGGAAATTCTTAAGGCAGCCCCTATAGGACATTCAGAATTTATAGAATATTTACAGTGTTTGATGTAGAAACTGGGATTAGGAGGCAACCTATGGGCCATCACTGGGGGAATGGAGGGAATGGAGTAGTATGGTAGACTGGTAGTGGTTCCCTGCAAAGATACCTACATTTGCCTGGGTACAATTTACTCACCTTGACACCTCTGATGTGAGAGTTCAGCCTCCTCCACACATGGCTCCTTTTCTTTTAGCATTCTGAAGATGACGTCTGGGTTGGGAATGTGATACCCTGTTAATTAAAAAGGATACTGGATTTGGGTGTAGCTTCTTCAGTTTTAGAGGCCATTCAGTGAAGCTTTACACTGGCTCATTAGAAAAGTCAACATGGGCACAAAGTAACACTAAAAGATGCCCAAAAGAAACAAACAATCCAGGGCAAGCCAAGGAAAGAGTCATGACATACTTTGATATCCCACTGCGTCCTGGAACGAGGAGGAAGGAAATCTCCTCAACAGGATCCACCCAAGATTCCCAGGTCAGTTGTGCTCACCCACTGAGAAGAGGTGGCTATAGAGCTCCAACGTCACGTCCTGGTACAGGCGTCTCTGGGCAGGGTCCAGTTGCTGCCACTCCTCCCTGCTGAAGTCCACGGTCACGTCCTCAAACGACAGTGATGCCTGTAACAGTGTACCCCAGCTCACTGTGAATTAGGTCATCATTGGTGAGTGGGGATGGCACACATAGGAGGAACATGCTTTTAATGATTTTCACCATGATCCATCACAGAGGCTTCCCACCAAACACCTATTTCACATTTTTAGGGAGTTAAAAAAATTAGAGAAATATCCTCCATCCACTGTACACCTACATTGATTCTTTTTTTTTTTTTTTTCCAAAAATGAGGCCAGAAATGGGTTCCCTCTAAGTCCTCTAGCTAATTTAGGAATAACCAGCATGATGTTGATGAAGCAACTACATGTGAGGCTGTACTTAAGCTGGGTCCTGGTGCTCAACATAGAATTACATAAGCTTCTACTTTTGCAGTAATTCAGAGACTTGGAAGACATGTGAATACAAAAGCTCAACTATGGGGTTAAAAAGGGAACATGGTAGAAATATATGAGAGGACACCGTTGGGGAGGGGCAAATTAGGGAAAGGCAAATTCTACCTAGCAGTAGAAGGTAATGCTACTTAGAGTTGGCGCAGCTTACACTGGAAGTAAGAACTTTGATGCAGGATGTGCGAAGGAAATCATTTTCCAGAAAAGAGCATGAATAAAAGTAGAGAGGTAGGAAAATACTGTGAATTCAGGGAGAAGCAGACACCTCTGTGTAAGGTAAGAGGCGACTATGTCATGTTTGGAAAGTGGTTACCATCCAAGCTCCAAGGAACTGGGCTGTTGTCTGAATATATAATGGGTACGGATTATTTATTTTAATGAATGGATTGCCATTTCAGGATTTTAAGTGCAGCGAAGATATATGATCATATAATATTTCAACAAGATGATCTTTCCCATAAGAACCAATATTAGGTTCATGAAAGGACTGATGATGGAAAGATCTTCATTACAGAAGTACCACAGATGATAAATGCAGCCTGAAGGACAAAACAAAAATATCACTTTTACTGATCACCAATGACTGCTAAAACCATATGAAAGACTGATGGGGTCTTTATAATGGAGGAGTGGGCTGACAATATCTGAACCCAATCATCAATTTTATCACAAGGAGAGAGATAACCAGATACTAAAGTGCACCTAATATGATGTAACAGCTACTCGGGAGAGTGAGGCAGGAGAATCGCTTGAACCCGGGAGGTGGAGGTTGCAGTGAGCTGAGATCACGCCATTGCACTCCAGCCTGGGAGACAAGAGCGAAACTCTGTCTCAAAAAAACATACACACACACACACACACACACACAAAACTGTCCCTGAAATAGCGAGTGTCTGCTGCCATTACCTAGTAACAAATTCAATTTATGAAGAGAGTGTGTACACACTTGGAGAAAATTGTATAATACATTAACATGTATATAGGCAAGTAAATAATCCATAAAATTGTGTGCTCCAGGGAAAAACCTTAAGTTATGCAGGCAACGAGTTATCACAGTCCGTACAGGCAGCTCTGAATATAGATTCACACAGTCATAATAATGAACAAGGAATACTGACCTGATCAGAATCTGAACCAGTTCTTAGAGGAGGATGGGCAAGGAAAGCAGGTGTTGGGGATGAAAGTATGAGGAAGTGGGTAAAAGCAAACCTTTTAATGACATGTTTCTTAATTAATTAACATGTTAATTAACAATCCAAGAGGCAGCAATATAGGCATGTCACTAAAAGATTAGGAGGTAAATGCCGAGATAATTAGCTAAAAATGTAAAATGTGATTTGTGATTGCCTGGGAGGAGCTGGAACTTGGGTAAAAATACAGCAAGTGACAGCTCTTTTAAAAGATTACAGGCTTCACAAAACCATCTGATCCTCTTTTCTATGTTCAAATAAAACTAAAACCTACTTTCAAAGGAAAAAGTAACAAAAACTATTTACAAACATGCAAAAAGGACCCTAGGTTATTACTATGTAAGAACTCTCTTGGGACGCTGAGGCGGGCAGATCACAAGGTCAGGAGATCAAGACCATCTTGGCTAACACGAGGAAACCTCGTCTCTATTAAAAATACAAAAAAATTAGCCGGGGGTGGTGGTGGGCACCTGTAGTCCCAGCTACTCGGGAGGCTGAGGCAGGAGAATGGCATGAACGCAGGAGGTGGAGCCTGCAGTGAGCAGAGATTGTGCCACTGCACTCCAGCCTGGGCTTCAGAGCAAGATTCCATCTCAAAAAAAAAAAAAGAACTCTCCAAAAATCCAAACCAAAATATAAATCAAAAGGTGAGAAAAAGTAACTCACTAAAAACAACTGACCAATAAAATTATGAAAAAAAATGCTGTTTGTAAACAAAGTAATGCAAATTAAAACACTATAGTATCTTCATTTCCATCAAATTAGAAAAGATAAAAACAACAACATAAAAATAGTACTGTCCAGAGCAGAGGGAAATACACACCACAAAGAGAAGACAACATGAATGGTACTGGGATATATTCTGACATGAATTCAGACACTGATGGAAAATCTGAATTAGCGACAGCAGTATTGATTTAAATGACAAACTAGAAATCAGGTCAAGCAGGAAAAAAAAATTCATTGTTAAAAAAGGAAAAAAGCTTATATTGAACATGTGTCCTAAAACACTAAACTTGAAGAGGTTCTGAACATACAGGTTGACCAACATCAACGCAAATGAGAGAAACGTTTGTGCATTTGTACTGCTGTCACAAAGACTTAGACAATTTCATGTTTTAAACGGGTTTTTTTGGTTTTGTTTTGAGACAGGGTCTCACTCTGCTGTCCGGGCTGGAGTGTAGTGTCATGATTGCAGCTCACTGCAACCTGGACCTCCCCAAGCTCAGGTGATCCTCCCATGTCAGCTTTCTGAGTAGCTGGGACTACAGGTGCATGCCACCACACCTGGCTAATTTTTGCATTTTTGTAGAGTCTCACCGTGTTGCCCAGGCTGGTCTCCAACTCCTGGGCTCAAGTGATCTGCCCGCCTTGGCCTCCCAAAGTGCTGGGATTACAGGCGTGAGCCACCGTACCCCACCTAAACTTGCATGTTTCAATTTTTCTTTTAAGAATGACTTAAATATTTGGGGTATTTACAATTTTGAAAATGATTTATATGTGCAATTTATTTTGTGTTAATGTTCCCTTCTTTTAATACTTTCTATTATCAAATGTTTCTAGCAGGTTGAGATGATTTTAACAGGTTACTGAAATATATAATCTTCTCACGATACACTGGTTCAGGATAATAACACACATATTTATTATACTTTTTTAAAAAACAACATCTCTGTAAATTTGGGTATAAACCTATCACAGAACAATGGTGCACTGTTTACTACTATAGTCATATGCTTATGCTATTTAAAGACTTGTAAATAAAGCATCAAGAGATACACAGAATAATTTAGGATTTCAGGAAATCTTGACTATACCAAGAATTCTGATTTCTTGTTACTAAATCCTGACTATTTCTTGTTACTAAATCCTGACTATCTGTGGGCAATCTCGAGACACTATTTTCCAGCATTTTTTATTCACCTTTTTAAACAGGAAAATCAACATGGTCCTTAAAAGCCTGTTCTCGCTCTACCTCCCTGTGACTATTTGAACTACGAAGGAAGATTTTTCTGCACCTTATGAGAACAGAGGAAAAACGGGCCAATCCCCATGGACCAAGCAAGGAATTTGGGTGGGGACCACTTGAAATTCTTAAAAGACCCAATGGTGGATGAAGGAGCGGAACAAGTGCTTAGAGGGAAAGCGTCAGCTTTTCCATCCTATGACTGGGGCTTCTGATCAGACCAGGGACTACAGTTTCTTCTTTCTTGACCCAAGGCCAACCCTCTACTATCCTCTTTTATTAGCCAATTTATGGTTTCCTCTAGAACACAGATAGCCTATGAATGTGGAAACATCAGCCTTTGTGGTCCTCGCTTGACAGGAGGCTCAAGACTGACTCAGGAGCAGGGAGCCCAGAGCCTGCTGCATCCTGTGTCTGCCCTCACGTTCTGGAGAACTGTCCCCAGGGCTGCCCCTGCTTACCTCGCAAGATCCATCCTGCTCCTCTGGACCCAGGACCTGAGGCTTCTGGGATAAATTCACGTCAGCAGGCATCGCCGCTCTGGACTTCTACTCTCGGTCTCTCTTGCTGACAACTCCACTTTTCCCAGGAGCCAGAAGCTGGATAGGTGTTTGGATTCTCCAACCAGGGACACTGCGGAGAGGCGTGCTGGGCTATGAAGAGAGATTCTGCAGCCTCAATGAGGTGGCCTGACCCGGGGATTCTGCAGAAGCCTCAGAAAAGCAATGAGTACATGGTCACTCATTCAACATTCACTCCACAAATATTTCCTGAGGGCACTGAGGTGAAGTCACTGTGTCAGACCCTGGAGTAGGCAAAGTTCAGAAAGCCCAACTCTAGTTATTAGTCAGGGTTAAAAATAAAGACTGAGTCTGGACTAAATGATGAATTCATTGCAGCTTTGCCAACTTTTCACTGAGAGAATGTGAAAATATTACTTTAGTTATAGTTTCCAAAATGAAAATGCAAGTATTTATCACAGGTGTTGGGAAACTCAAGCAAGATGAAGCTTGTCAAGTCCTCAGTGCCTGCCTGGCAAGTGGTAAATATGAATAAAAAAAAGAAATTTGTCAATTTAATTGTCAGCTAAATATCATGGGCATTATTACACCCATTTTGGGGATGAGGATAATAAGGCTGTTACATAATTTGCCTGAAGATTACTCAGTCTGTAAATGGAAAAACGGAATCAGCCCACATCTGCCTTGTTCTAAACTGTACACTGTCCCCACTATCTCATGCACCCTTACATGGCCAGCTTCCGGAAACACCATTTCCTCTTCCTGTTGCCTTCATAGAGCTCAGGCTGGGAGGTGGCTTTGTCTGGTGTACCTATTCTGAGCTTCTGGACTTTTCAGTCCCCATCCATAACACACCACACAGTCCCCATCCATAACACACCACACAGCTCTGACTAGAGCTAAAACTTAAAATCACTGTCCCAATCCCCACCTTGATGCAGAACATTTGCAGACATGCATCAGGGCCTCCAGTTACCATTTCTTGCCTGTCCACAATAAGTTGCCCCCACCGCACCTGAATGCAATCACTGACAGCACTGATTTTCAGAAATCCCCAATGAGTGGACTACAGGGCTGCCAGAAAGTTCCATAATGCCTCCCAGTCACTGACATGGCCCAGGCTTCTGAAATCATTACTGCCCTGATAGCCAAGAAATGTTTCCCAGCGAGTACAATTTTCTGGTTTCCATAAAACGACAAATAATCTCCAACATAGGGGTCCAAATGAAATGCTCCAATAGGAGACCATCGTCGATCTGCTCAACTGTCAATTACCGATCCTTACCATATCGAAGGGACCCAAGAAGAGGCCAACACTGCCCCACCCACCAATCCCTGAAGGACCCCAACACTCACTGCCTAGAAAGCAACGCAGTCACCCTCACAAATCCCCATCATTAACCCCCTATGCCTCCAGTCAACTGGCTGCCATAGGCTACTACTGGCAACCCCACTCTACTGATTACTATAGGTCGCCCATCACTGGTCCCCTGAGAGTGTTACAATGTGATCCTCAAAGGCCTCCAACCTCTGAAGCTCTTGGCTGCCAATCAATCACTGACTTCTCGAGTCCCACGGAGAGTGAATCCCTTCCCTGAACGTCCTCCAGCACCATCTGCAAAGGCGCTCTTAAGACGCAAGTTCGCTGTCCTCAAGTTAGCAAGTTTCGTGGACCAATATAAAATCCGGTATTAAAGTACACTTGTAATTTAAGTCACAAAAATACTTATTACAAGCAGAAAATAAGCAAGAAAAGCGGGAAAATGAACCAGCTAATTATCCAACTAAAATTAGCAAAAACCACTTACCCCACAACACCCCTCACCCACCCCAGAAACCCTCCATCGCTCAGCCAAAACAGGCCTGTCACTTACCTCACAGCCCGGTCTTCAGCCGAGAAATCCCTTTATCACGCACCGCCCCCCCGCAACAAGCCCCTCATCACTCACCCAAAGCCGGCTTCCCCTCCCTGACCCTACAGAACCCCCACTGCTAATATTCCCAATCACTTCAACATTCCGTAAGCCGCACAGGCTTAGATCCATTTAACAACAGAAGCGAAATGGCCTCTCTAGGCCACTTCCGGTTTGGGTTACATTCCCGTTAGCATTCCTGCGGTCGCACTGAACCGCGCGCATGCCCACTAACACTTTTGAAGCTACGCTCCGCCAACAGTCATAATGGCGTAAAACGGCGTACTTTTATCCCGCGGTTCATTCAACTTCAGAAACTTCGTCGGGAGGACGGCATGGCCGCACCCATACGGATTATCATATTGGAGGCCGCCATCGTCAAAGGGCTTTTATTCCGTACAGCCAAGAATGGCAAATGGAATGTCACAGAGTAAAAAAAGTCTTAGGTCCCACATTGGCAGGGGACCTTTTCAATACTGTGTATATATATTTCTAGAAGAAACTGACATTCTGTATTCTGAAAAATACTTTTTCTCTGTATTTTCGCCTCTGATTTTTTTTCCTGAATTGCTAAACAACTCACTGTCTTTAATAGCACTTTTGAAAATGTTATCTTTCTGAGAAATTGTTATCTTTGTTATCCTTACACCACTGCTCTCTATACCTGGATGAACCTATTGATGAAGTTACCTACCAAGAGACCACCTGAAGAGAGAATTTAGGGCTCTTGGGACACTTCATTCAAAGAGAGGAGAATGAAAAAAATACAATCAAGTTAAAGGAAAAAAACACAATTACTGAGAACAATGTCAGCCAGTCCAACTGCGCAGAATTTTCAGGAAGAGGCTGTTCAATCAAATAAACAAAAATATATTCTAGAAGGTGGGAGATAGCAATCATAAATTTTTTTTTTTTTTTTTAAAGGCTGATTAGTAGGAAATAGGAGGGAGGGCTGAGTGAGGATCTGAAGGTAAAGATCTGAAATGATCCTTCTTTTTTAAAATATAATAATTTAAATATATTGCTTTAGCTGTTTCTGCCATTTTGTAGTTACCGATTTTACATTCTGTGTTCACAGCTTCTGCCACCCCTTCTCTACACTTAAAGCCACCATATTGCATTTAATTACTTTATACCTCATTTTTTGTCAATTGGAATCATAAAATAAGACTGTTTAGCCAATGAAGCATGTTTTTGAACGTGGTTCCCCAGGAATAGTTCAGTTTTTACAGTTAGTATCTGAACCTTTGTTACATGAAGCATGAAACCTGCTTTTATTTTTAAAAATCAATTATATATTTACTGTAAGCAAATAGTGTAAAAGCAATAAAAACCCTTCTCTTTACTGTGTGAGAAAGTGTGACGTTATACTTAAGTTACTAAAAAATTCCCCGGATTTAGAACTTTTGAATTTTCTCCACTTACAAATCTGAGACTATTCTTTACTGTGTCATAGGTTTTACCCTATGGCTTTGGTACGTTTTATTTTTAAAAAAGGAAATGCAGAGAGTGAAAATTGAGATAGAAGTAGGAAACTTTAAACACAATAGCTCAGCATGTATATATTCAGGGCAAGTGAAGGAGTCTCTCTACTGGGACATCTGTATGTCTGTAGGAAGAAGGGTAACTGCTCCTAATACTCTTAGTGGGGCAGGCATACCCTAAGGTGACCCCTACTGAGTCACACCTTGTATGAATCCATCCCTTTGAGTGCAAACAGAATGTAAGATTTGCTTCTTACCAACAGAATATGGCAAAAGTTATGGGTCTCATCTCTATTATTAGATTATGATGTTAAAATCTATGGGAACTTGAACATCATCTACAAATACTGGAAATATTTCTCAGTTTCTAATTTTTACATTTGTTGCTTAGTTTTCTGGTTTTACCTTGTTGGCTAGAACCTCTTTAATAATGTCAAGTAATAATGGTGACAGTGGGCATCCTTTTCTTGTTGCTGATTCAAATGAGAATGCTCCTCAATTTTCCTTATTTATGGTGTAAGTTGGTATAGGTTTTAATATATATCTTTTATCATATGCATGATAATTCTAGTTGCTCCACTGCCTTATCAATACTTAGTATTATTAGTCTTTTTAATTTCATATGTTTTAGTGAGTATCTCATAGTGGTATCTTTCAGTAATTTTAATTTGCATTTCTCAGATCAAGCATTTTTTCAAGTGCTGAATGTCCACTCATTTGTCCTCTTTGCTGAAGCACCTCCTCAAATCTTCCACCCATTTTTCATTGTGTTTTAAAATTATTGTGTTGTGAGAATTTTTTATATATTCTAAAAATAAGTCTTTGAGAGATATGCATATCACAAACATTTTTCTTCCAGTCTATGGTTGCTTTTTTATTTCATCTAATCTTTAGAAGTTAAAAAATTTGATTAGGACATTCTAGAAGAGTTTTTAAAGATTGGAGTTGGCTATTCCTCAAGAAGACAGACAAAACTCTATGAATCTTCATATATCTTGTGTAGATAAAAGTCAAAAAAGAAGAAGAAAAAGAAAGAATTCTGTCTCTTGAAACTTAAATAAAGTGCTTCAAAATTAAAATGCTTCAAAAAATAAAGACAAAAAGTCTTGTGTAGATGAAAGTCAAAAAAGAAAAAGAAAAACAATTCTGGTTCTTGAAACTTAAAGTGCTTCAAAATTAAAGTGCTTCAAAAAATAAAGACAACTGATTGCAACTTATGAGGACTTCAGAATTTCAAATACTTCACTTTAGACTATACCAAGAACTCTCATCCTGACCAGCTTCAAACCAATCTACTGCCTGCATGACTGAACGCCTTGTTAAATAATGATCTCAACAAGATGCCTGCACTCAAAATCTCCGATACCAATTGTGCCTGTTTTTTTTTTTTTTTTCCTGGAAATCAAAGAAAGTAAACAACCAAGAACATTAAAAGAAACTTCACCCCAAAAATACAGTATTGAACAGAACATTCTATATACAGAAATGAAACTGTTTATCACCTTCATTTATAGCTAAGGATAAATGCTCACCCATTGACTAAAATGACCCTTTTCTTTCATATACCTCATTTTAAGCAAACCTAAGATGTCTGGTAAAAAGAGGCTTCATCATTCTGAGGTATAGGATTAGAAAACAAAATACAAATTAACAGTTGTGATTTGCATCACAAGAAATTGGATGCTAAGGAAATGTGCTGAAGTTTTCCCAAAGTTCAATTATTGATCTGTTCAAATGGATCCAATATTAAGATTCTAAGAATATCATTCTCATTCATTCATATTCTGATATTGCACCTTCCTCAGAAGCAGAGGAAGAGGAGCCCTTGGAAATTGCATGTGGCCTGAAGACAAATTTTGGGCAAGTCTATGAAAGTGAGATTCTTAGTCTGCTTAGGGTTTATGTGGGAAAATGGTTGAGGGCTTTGCCTGGAGGAATGAAGGTCGCTGACAGGTTTTAATCAGGGATGTGATCTCCTTTAGTCTGGTGTCTGGAATGACTATCCAAACTGCCAATTAACAAAACTGGAAACATTACTAATTCCTGAAGCTAGAGAGGCAATGGTTACTCTCATTCAAGACTGGGGAAATGGACACTGTTTCAGCCATTTTCTCAAACTCGTGGCCTCAAGCAATCCTTCCATCTCGGCCTCCCAAAGTGCTAGGATTACAGGTGTGAGCCACTGTGCATGGCCTGTTACAGCCATTTTTGAAAGCAGTTTGTAAATACTCATCATTGTTTTGCAAACATATTACTTTCCCTTGAAAAGGTGATCCAGTTTCTGCTAAAAATATCTTCTAAGGAAATAATCAGAAATTATATTTTTACACAACTCACATTTGTAGCTTGAAGTCAGTCACGATAGAAGTGTTTACACTGCAGAAATTGGCAAATACCATCCATCAAGTCTTCATTTATCATTTTATTGATTGTCTACACTTGATATAGTGATAAATAAAATGCTAATAATGCAACTTAGAGAATGCTAATATCTGCTGTCATTACATTGTAAATAGCACCAAAATTCAGGAAATATTCTTCTAATGTAGATATTCCAAACCTCTTATCTGATTCAGCAAAGAGTTTACTCCTGTCATTGACAGAAGAATAAAATCCCACCATACATCTCATTATTTCTGTTTCATCTTACTCCTTAAAGTAAATGAAAATATCAACCAACATTCATAACTACATAGTGTACTGTTCATCAACTGCCATTATAAGTTAGCTAAAGTTGCAGAAGTTCAGAAAAATCACTGAAAGCATTCTGTAAGAATCAGTTGACTATGTGGAATTTACAATAAAAAGTATAGTACATTTTATTATTCTTTAAAAGTTATGTGCTGCAGGGAGATGAAGGCCGTGGGATGTGACCAACTCAGCATTCCACTGGAGGCTATATGATCAAACAGCAAACTGTTTATCATGATTGCAGGATGTGGGCAAACTCACGACTACTCCCGCTGCCAGAAGGTTTGCTGAGGGCAATCGCTTCCTGGCACCAAGCTCCTTGAAGTTATCTACTGGGACATCTAAAGAACGCAGTCTTGCAAGCCTACTCTGGACCAAGCAGCTGACCTCTTCTTCCACCCCACTTCTCGCTATCTCTTTTGCCTAATAAATACGGAGGGCTGTGTAAAGCTCAGGGCCCTTGTCCACTAGAGGCAAGGTGCCCCCAACCCCTTCTTCCAAATATACCCTTTTGTCTCTTGTCTTCTATTCCCACGTTGGCCCCACTTTGTTCAGTCCCCCTAGGTCCATGAGGGTTACGTAGTGGCACCCCAAATAGCGACAGAATTGGGTGCTCAACAGTGTGCTACACATACTTTATATCAGTAAAATTTATCATGAATATGTATTTTTTGGAAATCCAGTTGTTAAATATTTCTTAGCACACTTCTGCCCCAATTTCATGTCTCTCTTGAATAAAGAATAGCCTTCATGGGTGGAGGAAGAAGGAGTG